ACCAAGAGTCTTCAGGGCCTATAAACTCTCCACCAGTATAATGTGCAGAATTTCTTCCTGCCATGCCTTTTACTCCTAGGAAGAAGTGAAGTATATGGCGGCCTTCCTGCTTAAGTAGAAAACTAGGTTTCCGTCCAAACTGAGCAACGGTAGCCTATTCATTTTTCTTTTTCTCTCCCCTGAGACAAAAGTAGTCTTTGGTTGCCGCGAAGATCCTTGCTGGCGCGCAAGCTGCGGCGCGTCTACTGAAACGTGGTCTCTTCCAGGTTCTAGCACAAGCCATAAAAGCAGCAAAAGAACAGCACCCGGACATGTCGGTGACCAAAGTGGTCGTGCACCAGGAGACGGAGATTGCCGAAGAGTAGCAAGGCCACGTAAGTAGGGAGAGGGCACGCGGACGACGAGCCCTGGCTTCCCACCGGGGCAGGTGACTCGCCTCTCCGTGCAGGCAAGGTTACTTAACAGATACCGGCCCGACGAAAAAGCCAATGTGTGGCTTAGTGCCACGTTAATTAAAGAGGCTCCCATACCTAATTAAACATGACACTTGTCCTCGGGGTTTGAGGACTTGCAGCTCTTGAATCTGAGGCTGGGAATTGGCCCTTTAGGGAAAAGAAGAGGGCGTTGTTGGCGGCAGACGCCTGGCCGTAGCGCTGAGCCCCGGTTCATAGATGCCATTGACGATAGCTCGTCTTTTCTCTTCACTTCGCAGATGACTTCAAGGATAAGGGAAGCAAGTTCCTCTCCTTCACTGAAAGTTAGTGTTTATAACTTACCCTATTTCTCTCTTTCTAGGGAGTGTTCCTGCCAGACAGAGCACAGGGGAAAAGAAACCCAGCAAAACTACAAAGAAACTACCTGGAGCACAAAGACCTCAGATTTACCAGACTTACACTCAGAAACTGAACATTCATATCATTTATTAGGAGTTGCGCTTTGACGTTTTACTTGGGATTTTTCCAGAATCCAATGGATATCCACTATTGGATATAGTGGGTTTTTTTGTTGTTTTTTTTATATTGTGACAAACAGTATGCCATATTTCTAACTGTACTGAACATTTTTTACAGGTTTTCAATTTTGCATTCCCTCTCACGCATAGCCTCTTCAGATACAGGCCCAACCACAACTTGAAGGGCTCAAAGGGTTGGGTGGTTTTTTTGGTGTTTTTTTTTTTTTTAATAAGTCTTTTCCCCCTCAGCCTTGTCAGGCGTAATGGAGATAAGTCACATTAGTGCATCCTCTGAGAGCAGACTTTGTACCCAAAAAGCTACCGCTGGGTCCTTCTGCCACAAGAGACAGTTTTCAAAAGTCGGACTTCAGCTTGTGCAGCCTTTCATGTCGCCCCTTGATTTTCAGCTCTAGGGCGCTGGCGTCTCCAGCCGCGATACCTGGGCGTACAGAGCAGAGCTGCTGCCTTTAAGCTGAGTCTCCTCGCCTTTGTGGCTTTCCGACCGGCGCTGTTGGAACGCAGTCGGGTTGCGGGGTGTAAGCGTGTACCCACATGTTAATAGTTGGCTAGGTTTAAGGAATCCCGAGAGTTGCTTCAAGTAGCCGATACTGTGAATCGTAGAGCTTTCGGAGGACGGTGGTAGGCCCTTCGCCTTTCTCCTGTGTAGCTCTGCCTAGTGCTACCTTACCTGTTTGTGTTTTCTAGACGCCATTAAATTAAAAAGCCCTTAGAAGCGTGTGTTTAAGATGTGTTGACTCTGAATGCTATTAAGGTAGGCTTATGCAGCATTCACAGTAACTGATTATTTTCTTTTCCAGTGTCATAGTTTTCCACTTGTTTTGTGTTCTTGATTTTTAAAGAAGGTTGTTTTTTTTTTTTAAGTCACGTTTGTTTGGGTTTTTTTTTTTCCCCTCCCAGTGCTGAATACATTACCCACATATCAGGACAAAGATGTTATATTCTGCTATCATTTAGTTTAAAATCCTTTAGACAATCCTTAGACCTGGAAGCTGTATTTGGAGAGGCTGGACAAGACACCGTAGGAGGTGTCTTGGTTTTGCTCGTTGTGATAAAGCCAAGCCATCTGCGGAGCATCACTGCGCACGAGGAACGTGCTGCCACCCCCTCTCCCGCGCTGGCTCAAGGGTCTGTGCTTTGGCTTTGTGGCCACCACGCTGGAATGAAGTACCAGGGCTAAGAGTGGCTGCATCTTCTGGCTTGGCTTACAGACCACATCAAAAATGTCTTTTTAAAGAAGCACATAATGTACAGTTTGTTTGTAGACACTCCAGTCACCGCAGTTGCACGAGTTTACGGCCTCCTCTTGCAGTCACCTCTCAAGTGTACTTTAAGAGGCATCTTCGGCTAGGCGGAGATGACCATAAAACTCTCCCGTTTTCCCCGTCTGTACGGAGGCTTGGGTGCACGTCCTTCACGGCGGCGGGGCCTGAGCTCCCCCGGCTGCTTTTTGAGTTTCATGGAAATGTTCTGATCATGCCCTGGTTTCTCCTTCCAGCAGGTTGGTAGGGGTTTTTTTGGTTTTTTTTGTTTGTTTGTTTTTTTAAGAAAAAGCTGTGTTAAGACTCTGCCCAGACACTTGTGAACACTTTAGTAGGACTTTGAGGTTGTGATTTTGTATATGGCGTGGCACAGAGGTAGCTGAGGGCATGGAGTGCTCTGCTGCCACCCTTCCATCGAGGGTGGGAAGCACATGGCAATAAAAGAAGTTTTCTGCTATTTTAGGTTTGAATAGTGTGTTTCAGAGGTCACTGGGTTTAGCTCAGGCTGCAATGACTTGCCATTTAGCTGAGAGTAGTCTTTGACCTACACTAGGGCTAGTGTAGCTTCTCAGATTCAGGTGCAATTTTAATTAAGCTGTCAGTATTGTTTGGAGACGATGCTGAAAACGCTGGAGCTGCTGGAGTTTTGCTTTTCCCAGAGCCTAGTGAGGCTCAGCCCAGCTCTCCGGCATGGGCGGCTCCTCGCCAGGCTGCTCCAGGGGCTGGTCTCTCCTGGAGGCGCTGCAGGCGGGTGGCAGGCCCTCTTGCGTGCACCTGCGGGGTCTTGGGCTGGTTCTTGGCATCCCGCTTTGCGGGTTTGGGGAGTCCTCTGCTCCACGACTTTAGCGTAGAGATGAAGTCTTCCTATTTTATGTCTGAACAGCCCTTTCCTTCCTTTGGCTGCAAGGCAGATCCTTTAATGGGTGGGTGACTCTGCTCTCTGTCCTCATTGGGTAACGCTTGCCTTAACCGACCGTCATGCTGAGCATCTGTCCGGTGATGTCCCGTATCTGGGAATTTCAGTTTTTGCTACTTGGTCCTTCCTTGTGTTCTCTCCCTGTAGCAGGTAAATCATCCGAAAATGAGCACGCAGAGATTTCTTAGATTTACCAGAGAAAACCAGTGTGATAAATTAGGTTTCTCCGTAGCACTTAAAGGCACTTGGCAGTCACGAGACTCAGGTGAACACGGCGCAAGGCTGTAGCGTGGTCCTCTGTGTCGAGGTAGCGCGTGGACTGACCGTGTTGAAAAGAGCCAAACGTCCCGAGTAACGGATGCATAAACTTCCTAGGGCTCGGAAACCTGTTGGCGTGAGAGGTGGTTCCTTTCCAAAAGGACTGCGGGATCCCCCCCTTCCTAAGGGGCCATGGAAAAAAATAACCCTTACCTATATGTATATATTTTTTGGCTGGATTTTAGGTGGCTGTCTCCAGGTCGTTCATTCACACGCTTCCCCTTGGTTACGTTTAAGTTCTTGCTTTTTTTTCAAACCACTCGGAGCAGAGTTGCTCCCCGAGGCACCTCCTCCCCATCGCTGTGACTCTTCGCCACCCTGTTGCCTGACCCCACGGGGGATTTCCAGCCCTCCTGAGCCTCTCTAGCGGATGAGGCCGTGTACGTGGAGCCGGAGAAAAAGCAGCGGCAGCCTGGGAAGAAGATACAGGAGCTCTCTGCAGCACCAGCGCCAAAAAACATAAGTAGCTTCTTGCATCTTCACCCAGCGCCGCCGCGGTGGGACCGCCTGCGCCCCTCCTCTGCCACGGGGCTTAACAAACCCGGCTCTTAGCGCGTTACCTATTTCTGGAGACAAAACAGCGATATAAGGTCTATTTATATGAATGTTCCCAGCTCTCCCCAGTCCACAAATTCACCTACAGACTGTCTTGATTGTATAATACACATTATATGGAAGCTATTTATATATGAACGAATGTTTTTTATAGAAAGGAAGGCAAGGAGCTCGTGACCTGGTCTCATCCATTGAAGCGGAACGGCAGCGCCGGTTGCCAAACAGCAATCTCTGAACAGCACGGCTGATTTCATCAAAGGACTGGCTGATTTCTGGTTTTAATAAACCGTGGTTTGCTGATTTCCTAATTGTACAATGACCTTAAGAGATGGTAGCGTCCCCAACCTTAGAGATTAAACTTGTAAAAAAAAAAAAAAAAAAAAAAAAATTTAGTTTAGAATATGAAGGAGCTTTGTAAAATCTTTTTAAGGCAATTGTGAATTGTCTAGGCTAGCTGTTTACATACACTCTTTATAAAAATAGGAACTTTTTAAAAAATTGGCAGATCTTTATAGACCGACTAGTAAGGGACAGGAGCTGTTATTTTGGACTTCCATAGTAAATCAAAGGGAAAGTTGCTGTAGCATTTAGACAGACGTAAGTGTTCAGTATTGCTTCTTGTATTGCTTTTTTTTTTTTCCAATAAATTTTCAAACAAAACCGTCGCCCCCGTCTCCCAAAAACCTTTCTCGGCCCGCGCCACCCCCGGAGCACCCGAGCCGGGTGCACGGACCAGCAGGGAACCTGGGGAAAAGCCTCCGCGAAAGCAGCAGCGCGTCGTTCACTGAAGCTTCGGGGCCGAGTTGTTATATTTGACAACTAGTGAATAAGCCTGCGTTGAGCTATTTAATGTCAGGGGTGAGCTCAGGTGACGCTTTCTGCTCAGCAACTGCTGCCAAAGCCCGCGGGAACGCGGTTTCACCAGCGCGTGGGAGAGCCGCTCGCCCTGCTTCTGCACCGGCGCTGCAGCGGCTTCAGGCGCGAGGGACGGAGGGACCCGAAAGCCGGCTGGGGGCGCGGGCAGGGGCCCCCAAGGGAGCAAAAGCGC